TAATTTGTTGTTTTATTTTACGGTGTGAATAAATGTTGGTAGTTAGTAAAATTGTTATAAAAATATATAATTCTAATAAAAATAGATAAGTAAACACAAACATCCGATACGCTACTGAAGCAGGTAAGTCAAATTAACGTATCTAAATTCTTTGACAAGTAATAAATAAAAGCTAAAATGCAAGAAAAATATATAATTTAGTTAATTTAAGTGAATTTCATAAATGATCGGTTTACTACACGTATGTATATTATAGTCACTTACTAGCGAAAAGTTGTTCCATTATTTCACTCAATTTTTGCCGAGATCTACCGCACGCTACACAACCAACTATTTTAGAGTGTTTTTCGATAAATCGCGATAGTGTCACTGTTAATTTAAGTTCTGCCACAATTTCCATCTAGATTTACTACCTTTATACAACTATCAGTAGTAGAATAAATAAAATAACATAAAATAAGCTCCGTAAAGACTGACAAATCCACAAAATTTCAAATCAAATCCAAATGTGTCAAATGAATCGTCAAACAGAACTGTCAAGGATCCCCACCCTAGAGTGCTTTTATGGTGCTTTTTCCGCCCACCATGCATGAATACATGGATAGCATTATGCTCCTTCCTTAGTCTTCTTATTCAAAGTTATATATCAAGTTTTTAGATAATTTAGGGATCAGTTCATACAGGCAGCTTTAGATACATAAATATTAGAACAAAGGTTCGTTTAAACGACATTAGTGAATTAGCTACATACAAAGCGATTTTAGGAAATTCATTCTCTTAGAGAGTAAAATTATGTCGGAACAATTTGTTGTATGAAAATTCCTTACTATGTGGTCTAGAAGAATGAAATCCTACAAAAAGAATTAGAAGAGATTTTTGAAATTCATCAACCAAATGGGTAAAGTTAGTAAAAATTTATTTGCACTTATTCAAGACTTGCCCTGTATAATATCCAAAAAATCGACAATTGATAACTTTCATATGAAATACGAGTAGCTCTAAAACTCTTAAAAACATAGTTTAAATAGGGCATTTGTAAGGCTCACTAGCTCTATATACAAAGTAAATCATTTAAATCAATGCATGAACTATTCGAGGTGTAACGCGAACGTAGTCGCAGGAAAAACCTAGTTTGTAATAACATCAAAATCAGTCAAAGTCGCAGTTTTCGAGATATTAACATATTTTAGTATGGGCGGCTGTACGTGCTTCCCGGCGCCAATTTTTTTTATTTTATTTCTAACCAAACGGTTTTGTCCCGCTAGATTCATCTTCCGCCGCACTGTGCGCTCGTCCGTCAAACGGAAAAATCACACAACTTGTCTTTAAGCGCGAACTTCAGCTCGGTCCCTAGATAACGTGATAATACATTACCACCTCCGCACAAGGGCATTCAATCTTTTCCAATATGGCGGAGATAGAAGTGCTTGATTTGGCGCGTATTTTAAACCCTGTTTTATTCCCAAATAGACATTTTTCACACAAATGTCGGGTTAGATTACGTAATATTTCACTAATTTTTTAATATACAGGGAATCTAAAGTTCTCCACATAAGTATGGATTTTTTTTGTATTCTTTTATGAAAACATCAGTTAGTTGTAGTCATAGTAGTAGTACTTGTTATAAAAAGGTCTGCTTTCTCAGAAAATAGGTAGCGTTAAAATATTCAAACTTGAGATAGCATATATAGGATGTTTAAAATCATCAAAAAGAAATAACCAGAAATGTATGACAGAAAATAGCAATATAAACTAAATATTCAATTGCAAACACTTACCTACCATAGTTTAGAATTTACTGAACGTTTGATAAATATATACTATTATGGACAGTATAGGAAGTTACTTGTCTTAGTATAAGCCTTGGTAAATGCTCTTGGAATTATAAACTACACTGGCTTGGATCAAAAAATATGGAATATTTTTTCTGTGTTTTGCAGCATTACACAAATGGGAATAAATTTAAACTATAATATAGGTGAAAACTAAACAATATATATGTGTTTCAAGATTTTATATAGAAAAATAACTAAATACCATTTTGGGGGTTCAGTAAAACTTACGCTTAGTTTTCTTTACTCTTCCTCTTTACATAGGACATTGTCTTTGTGGCAAAGACGCCATTCCTTTTTTTGCATAGTTCTTCAATAAAATATTGGATATTCTGAACAAGATGGATTTAATAATAAATTCTGACGTATGTGAGGGGCAATTGTGACCTAAAAAGACCTTTGAATAAGAAAAAGACTAACATCCAGGCCATTTATATTTTCAACTATCAATGTTGTCAATATCTTTCTGTGTATCTTTTCGATGTAAAAAGCTTGATTCTTCTTCCAATATTTTACTTATAGTGAGGTAAGTGTAAGCAGTAGCCATTACTACATCCTCATTAGGATAACAGAGGCTTTGGGGCCTTTGGCCTTTTTGAGGCATATTTAATGCACTTCTTACCCGAGAACTACTAGTAGGAGTGAAATTATCTCTTTTAATAGCTGTCAACAATTTTTTACGAAGCTCGTCATTTTTGGGGTATATAAAAGCAGAAACCTCGGGTCCCCCTCTATAATTCCCGTGATAATTTGGAACAGAGCATGTAAAAGGCATGCTACAATAAAATGTTAACCCTTTAATACCTATCTTTTGATTATTTTAAGTAACCATTATAAAGTACTATGCAGACTGGCGGTGAATGCTTTTTACTCATTTAGGTGTAATATCTTGATAAATACTTCTAGTTCATACTTTAAAATATTTAATAATACAGGAGTACGACAAGCACAAAAGTTTGAAGTTCCCTATGTGGAATATCTGGTTTGGATTTTTATTTTATTTTATCACAATTTTTTGATCACACCATGCACTGAACACTGAACACTAAGAATAAACAAACGTGTTGCAGAAGCACAACAAACTAGAGATAATTAATTATTTCTGGTATGCAATCGGAACGAGAAACCACTACCGGCTTTTCAGGTTAAAGGTAAACAATTTAAAAATGCGCTGCTTTCGCCGCCATATTTGCCTTGCCCATATCATGTTGATTAGTCTTGAGTGGAGGGGGTGATGGATAATAACGTAAAAAAGCCAGAGGAAAAAACTAACAGTATAGGAAGATAGGAATCGAACTAGCCTTATCCCTATATATAGTATCCTTGACATGGATCGCCATAAGCGAGCGTAGGAAATCCCATACCCCAACCACAGAAGAACAATCGTAGAGAAGCGACAAAACGAATCCCGCCTAAAAATTTGGAGTGGGAGGTAAACATGCTAACTGTCATCTCAACGTGTTTTCGGAATACGGCCAGCGTTGCCATTATGAATATAGTCCTGAAATCTAACTATTTCTTTATTTCTGTATATAATTAATCTTTTTGAATTAATTTTTCTATATTTAATCCTTATCATAATAGTACTTTAACAAAGAACTAACTTCAGAACTAAATATTATTAAAACTTAAAATAGATGCAGGTTTGTTAGCGTTTAATAAAAAATAATTAGAAAATTAAAACTACCTATTAGAAAATGAAATATTTAATCGCATATATAATATATTAGCGACGCTAATTTGAATTGTTATCTTTAATATAATATGGTTTTATGTAAAATATGATTTCTTAATATACAGGATGAGTCTTAAATAAGTGTAAATATTTTCAAGGCTGGTAGATCTCGATAAATGAAGCTATTTTTTCTCTTTACCGTTTTTCAAAAAAGTCCAGAATAACCGAGATTCTTTGAAAATGAAAAAAAAATTTGCTTGCATTTTCAGAACCGCTGAATTTTTTTTTGAGTTTGGTTTGGTTTGGTTTGGTTGGTTCTTTCTTTTAAATTTAATCTACCATCTATGTTCTCATATTATAAAGATATTATGTTTTTTAATCATTTTAGTTTTAGTCATCTGCTAATGCACTGCAGAAGTAAAGTGTTTTGGTGTATTGTGGTGAATTAGTGTTTTATTTTGCTGTTGAAATACCCCAGTTCCAACCCTCAACTGTAATCATGTTATTTACTTTTTGGTTTGTTTTAACGCTTGTGATAACAGCTGATAAATATTCGAATTTTCCTTAAAATTGTTTTACTTAAAAACACACTTTCAAATATTAACTTCGAAGCAAACAATATTATCAGATATGATTTGAAAATGTCTCTCTAAAAGGAATAGGTTAGAAAATGGTTAGAACGCGGTAAATTCACAAATCGTGGGATTCACAAAAGATAGTTACTATTCAATATGATTCCTAAATATTTCTAATATACTTTTTACTGAACACATGTTTTTTTCAGTGTACAGTTTTTCTTATTTCTTTTGCCTTCATTGAATTTCTCTCGGGGTAGCTATAAACATGCTATCTCTCACGTACGCCAATTTGAAGGTCACAAAACTTGGTCCCCCCCTGCTTCAATAATGCCGGTTTTTGTCGCTTCTCTACGATTGTTCTTCTCTGCCCCAACTACTGTTAAAGAAAATGGACGCGTTCAGGCCCTGAACTTCAGGGAACACTACAGCTGACATTCAGTGTAAATTATCCAGAGAAATTATCGCTGACCTTTATTTATGACATTTCACGATATTCCTTAAACGGCAAAAAGAACAAGAAACATTAGAATCTTCAGATCAACAAATGGCCGCCTGCAGTCATCCCGATATTCGAGACCAGCCAGCACCCTAACTGCTTTTCTCTGCAAAGAGAATAGCCGAACGGTCTCGGCAGAATTGCCCCAGGCAAGCAAAGCATAAGTCAAATGAAGAATGGAACACGGCAAAGTACGCCGTTCTGATAGTCCTAATAGAAAAGCTCTTTGCAAGAGAGCGAAGAACAAACTCTTACTTAGTGTCTTTGCAACTTCATTCACGTGCAGCGCCTATTGTAGTTTTGGGTCGAGATAGATACCCAGAAACTTCACACACGCCTGTGCCTCATTTAGCCCCAACGTAATTTGATTTTTTTGTTGGTACTAATCTGTTGACAATAAAAATATTTTACCATAAAGATTAAAATTTGAAAAGCATTTATTTATTAACTTATTATTAATAAAGTACTAATTTTTGCCGTGTGTTATAAATACTAAATATTGTAAGTTGTATGAAATATATGATTAGAAATGCACTTTTAACTGATAACACAAATATTTATACTTTACATATAATATACTACATAGGGATAAATATGTAATGTAGTTCTAATATACTGATATAAATATTTAATATGTATATATAGTTTCAAAATAATGTGAGACAAACTAAATCATGTTAAAAAGGCCAATTTTATTCTTCACGATTGCCAGGTGAACGGACATCATCAATCTTCAAAATCATCTTGACAAGCTGAGTGGCAAGTAATAACTGTTGCCTCTTTGATCTGAGAGATTCAATAACATGTTGTTCCCGCATATTAAGATTACCGGTGAACATACAATCGATCCCAAGAGCTGGGTCTCCAGAGGAGGCTTGTTTAGCCTGTAAAGAGAAAGTATAAACAATAAAAAGGAATTAATTAAACTATAATTAAAATTACCTTTACTTCTCCAAGTGCATGAATTGCCGAGAGCCCACTATTTTCTGCTAAAGCCAATGGAATTGCTTCCAAAGCCTCAGCAAATGCTCTATAAGCATATTGCTCCAGTGAGGCTAGCTGATCAGCTTGAGCTGCTACAGCTAAACTACAGGCAATTTCAGCTGCTCCACCACCATAAACAACTCTAGGTTCCTAAATCATATAATACAATTTAAATAAATTTGTTTAAACTAGATCTTAAGCATGAAAAATGTATACCCTGCTGGTCATCCAATTTATGTAGTCTAGATTTTAATGCGTGTAACAGAGAATAATATAAATGACCAGTTGACAGACAGACAAAATCAAAAGCGGCATACAGTGTTGCCGTTTTTTTTATGTTTGTAGGAAGATGTGTGTAAAAAAATATAAGCTTTCATGTATACCGCTGAAATGATGATAATACAGGGTGAGTTTCCTACGATGTTCTCTATGGGTATCTCGGAAACTACTGGAGATAGAGTGTCAGTTAAATGGGGAAAGAACTGCAGTTTTGTGGGGTCATAAATATGCGCCTTTCAGATTTTTGAAAAAGTTCATGGCGTACTAGATATTTCTCTCAAAAAACAAATTTCGGCTATTTTAAAAATTGTCCCTAATTCCATTATAAGCTATTTTAGACAAAAAGTTTTCAGATAAAAGTTGTAGATAATCACACCCTTAATGAGATTGTGTCCTCCGTTTTTTTCTAAAGCCTGTCATTTTTGACATATGACACAAACATATGTTTTTTTAAATAGAAACCATTATGGCCATGACTTCATAAAAAGCGCCATTTTTTAAGCTTTTTAGTAACATAAGCTATAATATCTTTTCTTCGAAAAATTACTGAGTTATAGCCAATTCTTATCATTTTTTAACAATTTCACTTAATTAGCCATGGAAACAAGTTCTATCGCCGTTGCTCTCAGAAATGTGAAGCGGTCACATCCAAACTTTATAAATTAAAATAAACAAAAATTGTAAATATGAATTTTTCAAATGAAGAAAAGCGTGTAAATACTCGCGCAATAGAGTGGTTCCAACATGACTTTCATTATGACACACCACCCCCCACCCCCCATAATGAAAGAAATGTTAAAAATTATTTATATCATAGTTATACAAACGCAGGGATAGGAAAAGGTGAAGATCACCTGATCATTTTAGAATTTTTTATGCCGTATAGTTTACAATAAGGTTTACAAAAGAAGTTATGAAGAGAGGCACTCGAAGTGGCGGTACGAGAAAAGTTTAATTAAGTCGACCGGTCCTTTTGTGAGAATAGATAGAACAAATTCAGTTTTAAAAAGATGCAACTCAAAACAATGGCGGATTTTTTGAACATTTTCTAAAATAACTTAAAATGTATGTAATGATATTATTTTTTTAAGTTTTAGTTTGTGTAATGTAAATTGTAAAGAACCGTTTAGTAATATATTCTGACTTTTTATAAGTTATAAATCATAACAGAATAAGAATACCATGTAATCTAAGTGAAATTAGGCAAAAAAGATAAGAATTGGCTATAACTAAATTTAACTTTTCCTAACATGTCTTAAAAACCGTTCTCTAAAAAACGTAACAGTCACCGGTCAACGTATCCTCGAAAATGTATGGCCAAGAAAAGTTGAACCAATAATCCTACACGCTTTTCTTCATTTGAAAAATTCATATTTACAATTTTTGTTTATTTTAATTTACAAAGTTGAATGTGACAGCTTCACATTTATGAGAGCAAAGACGATTAAACTTGTTTCCATGGCTAACTCAGTGAAATAGTTTAAAAATTATAAGAATTGACTACTCAGTAATTTTTCGAAGAAAACACATTATGGCTTATATCGCTGAAAAGCTTAAAAATGGCGCTTTTTATGAAGTCACGGCCAACTAAGGTTTCCATTTAAAAAAACATCTGTTTGTGTCATATGTCAAAAATGACAGACTTTAGAAAAAAACCGAGGACACAGTCTCATTAAGGATGTTATCTACAACTTTTATCTGAAAACTTTTTGTCTAAAATAGCTTATAATGGAATTAGGGACAATTTTTAAAATAGCCGAAATTTGTTTTTTTCGAAATATGTATCTAGTAAGCCATGAACTTTTTCAAAAATCTGAAAGGCGCATATTTATGACCTCACAAAACTGCAATTTTTTCCCCATTTAACCGACTCTCTATCTCCAGTAGTTTCCGAGATACCCATAGAGAACATCGTAGGAAACTCACCCTGTATATCTAAACTAAATATAATCTATTACAGCTGTAGTAAAATGAGTAACTCATAGTGACAAATATAAATTTCCAGCCCTAGATGTTGCAATATTTTTCATAAACGCCTACTTCTGCAGTTTGAATTTTTGATGCAAAATTCGGCAATACCGCATAAAAGAAATGTGTTATCTCCTTTTTAATACATTTTATTTTCCATTAAGCTGTCTAACAACACTGTCTTGTTAAAATCCAGACTGCACAGTTTCAATGACCAAATCGGTATGTTATGACTACAATGAATAATTGGTACAATACCAACTGACTAAAAGCTTTTTTATTTTGAAATTCACTTATATTTGCAATAGCGGGTAAGCGGTAACTACATTCACCGGCACGAAAAACGGGCACCTTAAAATTTGTATGTATTTTGAAGTTTATGGATTGTCATATAAGTTTTGTTGATTGTCATATAATAGCTATCGAATGGGTGATTTAAGTACTGCAAATGATTATTTTTGACCTTAGTAATTTTTAGTTTATCACAATATTTTATTATACAGCTTGATTAAATAAAACAAATTTTAACTAAATTTCATCCATTTCCCCAAATAAAATAGGCCTCACAGGTCGCAATGTTTCCGGCGGGCATATAAACATTATTTACAGACCTACTACACCAACAAAATTTACTTGGTTTTTATTGGTCAGCGTACGAAAGAAAACAACACAGCAGAGCGGCGACATCCTTTGGAATCTTTCAAAACAAATCTAAATTAGTAAAAACCAACCAACCCCACCAAATAACCAACTAACCAACGAATTAACACCCTCCAAATAACCACGCTAACCAACCCGCCAAATAACTAAACCAATCCAACCAAAAAGAGTGAAACCAATGCAATCAAATCACGCTATAAGGAAAAAAATATATAAAAAAGTTTTGGTCCGGCGTGAGATTTGAACCACGGACCATTCCCTTACGAAGCGATATTTCAATTTCAAACAGTCTTTATTAATTACTAATATAGTTACATTGCAGCGCTTAATATAATAATATTGTCACATGGTGGCAAGCAACTCTACGGCCACATGGCCGTTAGGTGCCACAGTAGACAATTATTTCACATAAATAATTAATTGCGGTTTATCTTCAAATTTATCTTAACCTAATTAATAAGCTTATACTATACAATGTGAAAAGATATATTTGAAACGAGGTCCGTCAGCGCACGACTTTCATGTTTATTTTGTTTTTATTATTGCTTTCGCTTAACTTGATAAAACTTGAACGTTTCTGCTAATTTTTTAAAGATTTTTTATTTGCATTCTCCGGACAAAATGCGACTTGCTATAAAAAACCCGAGTTTATATTAAGACTAGAAAAAAGGTTATTGGATGGCAGTTTTTACTTTGAAGTAATATTTAATTTGGATTTAATTTATTCATATAGGTATTTATTTATTTATTTATTGTGTATATTTGTATATTTTGGTTAAAAATAATGTAGTTTTAATCACGGATTTTTTTTTGTTTTATATACTATTTTTATGTAATGTTAATATAATTTTTTTTGTATTTTTGTTTTAGTATATACGGTTGGTCTAAATATAATGGAGTTCTTGCATAAATTGGTTTATGTGTTACTTGATGGATTTGCCTAATTGAGGTTAAATTTTCTGTTAAGGGTGAGGCCTGAATTTTATAAAGAAAGAACTTGTTTGCGAGTTCTGTTATGTAATCTTTTATTAATGGCATGTTCGCTTGGATATGTAGATCTCGAATGATTGTGTAGCGCGGGGCTCCGTGTATGCATCTAAGTGACTTATTTTGTAAAACTTGGAGTCTACCTATTTGTTTGTCGGAAATACCGCTCCAGACCGGAGCGGCATATGTTATGACTGGTCTATTGATTTGTTTCTAGATTATTCTTTTATTTTCCGGTGTGAGGGATGATCTGGGCGCTATTAGGGGATACATGGCCTGCATTGCTCTGGATGTATTACTAAGCTCACATGTTTACAAAAGGATAGGCCCCTATCTAGGGTGACGCCTAGGTATTTGATATGATTTACTAATTTAATGGGCTCTTTTAATTTTGAGGGGTATGTTTATATTGACATCCTTACGTTTTTTGGTTATTACCGCACATTCGCATTTATCCCTGTTTAATTTAGGCTTCCAGGATTCGTACCATGGTACTAATTTGTTTAAATTGTACGTTAGAAGTTGTATTGCGGCGTTTACATGATGAGAGTGGGCGTAAAGTAATACATCGTCGGCAAACATGGCAGTTTGTAACCTAGGGAAAGTTGGTATATCGGAGGTGTAATAATTACGAAACGATAGCCTCAGTCACGGAGCCACAGGTGCTCTTGCAGAACAGCCTACACCCAGGCGTTACTTTCCGCCGTTCAGCTTTCTTTCGTACGCTGACCAATAAAAACCAAGTAAATTTTATTGGTGCCGTAGGTCTGTAAAGAATGTTTATATGCTTCCGGCGGGGGAAGTCTTAAACCATCCTTAAGCACTGTTAATATTCGGTGCTTTAAAGGTGTATCAGAAATGAAAGATCAAAATATTTCAACAAAATGGTGACTGTATATTTTAATCAATCTATTTTTTCAATAAAATTGAAGTGAAATTTTAAAAATATGGGTTTAATAACTTTTTATTTTGACTTGTACCACTTGTATTACGTCGCCGGCCGTGCAATACTTCCAATGCGACACATATGCGAAAAATCGGTTTTGTGCATAGTCATCTAGTCCTTGAGTAAGACCTAGATGGCACTAATAACCCCGTAACAATCGTGTGTAATACCTCCTGTGTGACATGGTCCAAAAACCCGACCGTGTAATAAATCGTATGTTTTTTGTCACATTGTTTATTTTGATTGGTGGTGAAATATCTCCAATGTGCATATTGTGTTACATTAGAGGTATTACAATACACACATTGGA